TGGATGGGTACATTCCAAATTTTTCGCCGGCATCGTCAGTGAGAGGCGCCATCGTAAGCACAAAGTTACACCTTATCACTCTTCACTTCGAAACGTTTGGGAATATACCCAACGAATGGTCCATTGCTGGAAATCACGAATACAATGGCCAAGGAAGCGGGACTAGGTACATTCCATTAAGTTTCCCTGACGCTCCGACCAAGTTGCGAAAACAAGGTCGAATCAACACTATATATATTTATATTTATCCATATTTAAGGTCTGTCTGAAAGAAAGCTGACATCTTGAGTAAATTAATAGCCATGGTTTTGATTACCGGGGACTAGAACCGATATGATTCGGAACGCAGGCTTAAATACCAACTCACAATTGGATGTTGTTCTCCCCATCCTTGCATAATAAAGATGGTTCCAAAATACATGTAATTCCAAACAAAAAAAACATCCCTGCTATCTTCTGTTTTGTTAAATTCTAAATTTTATGGGAAATATTATGGTATACTGAATGTTTGTTTTGTGTGTTCTTGTGTTAAGTGGATACTAAGGACAGTCAAGTATCAGAAAGTCATTGAAGTACACTCATCCTTGTCTCCTAAAAGGGATTTCTAAATCAGGCTGGACTGTCGTTTCGAAATCATTTCATCATTCCAAATGGATTTGAAAAGGGGTCGTGATTATCGTGGAAATGCATTACCACGCTTCAACTTCTTGAACACAGAAACTAAGCTAAATGTATCATTGATCACAATCTTAATAATAATAAATAGTGGAAATGGGGAATTGAGAATAACATATGAGCCTTATTGTCTAATCCTGATTAGATTTAGGCAAAAATTAGCGATGATAAGAGAAACGTCATTTAGTTAATATCATGAAAATTTGCTAGCTATGATAAGTAAATTTATTCAAATTGCTACATTTTTTAGAGTCTATTTGTATTCGGTTATCAGGAACATAATTTTCGTTAAGCTATAGAATTTCCTTTTAGAATTATAGGCAGTGGTTATGATTCTCTTAGAAATAATTTATACATCAAGTTTAATTTACAAATGAAATTCATCACGCCATGTATTCCATAAAGATTGCGGTTGCGAGCTTACTACGGTTTCATAGGACCACCTAAATGGATTCGAATCGCTTACGCGTAGATGCAGTGACAAATACGTCAGTTCCTCGACCACCAGACCATAGACCTCTTTAATTGGCCAATAAAATTGACTTTGGAAGCAAGCCAAGTCTCACTCAGCCCATTAGTATTCATGATATTGGTCCGACCCTGCAAGTCGGCAATTGTAGATTTATTTTTAAATAGTTGAGGCAACAGCTAAATGATAAATGCAGGTATGCCCTACCAAGGTGTGTTGAATACACGCTACATTGTCTAAAAAATTTCGCATGAATTTAGAACTATCGAAGCCTTGATTTTACAACAGAGCAGTTTATAAGTTTTCCCTAAATAAATACTATCCGATTCTCCATCCCTGGGAGAAATCATGAAATATAGTGAGGTAGAGGTACACATATTGTTGAGCCCACTTCCATTTAGAGTGACAGTGTGATATTAAGAGATTATTCGTGGTTGGTCCTATAATGAGACGAAGGCAATCTCTCTCGGCCAGCTGCTGTTTCGCTTTATTGTAACATTTTAGTTGATGGTGTCATTGAGGCAATCCCGTTCGATTCCGGTAAAAGCGGGCTGGGCTTTTGTCTGCCAAATGACAAACATCATCAGAGCAGGATACCATTCTTACAACAATTTCAAGACAACGAATAAATACAACTCATCCCCCAATCACTGTATGCTGTATGTGGCCTCTATACCTAGATATTTCTGTGGGTTATTGAGTGATATTATTAGTTTATATGATAAGTCAATCTATAATTATGTGAATCTGTATACTTGGGTGTGTTTGAGAGCATTAATGTGTATGTATGGGTAAGAAACTAGCAGTGGTAGATACAAGTAATCAGAATATCATCAAGATTGAATGATCCAGCTCAATAATCTTAAATCAAGAGTTTCCTCGTAAGCTAAATTTAATTCGTAGAGATATATCTGTTTCACACATCAAAAATTTGTAAAATAAATGAATTACTATTACTTTTATAATTAGGCTGGAGCCATTTTAGGATTAATCACATCTCATCAAATCAGTCACAGATGGCCCTCTACAAGTAGCTAAATTGTATCAGTCACAATATATTACATTGTTCTTGCCTTCGGAAAAGAGATATTTATCTTGAGCAAAATTCTTTATTTCTAATGAACAGTGAGCAGTATATCTAGGAGCGATATAACTGGTTATACTAGGCAAACTTAAAGAAATCAAAGGGGTATTTACCACAGCACGTGATGGAGTAAAAATTTCTAAAATAAATAATGCCGGAAATGGTGGAGGCCAACATAAACCGGAATGTAACAAAAGTACATTGTTTATTCTTTAGGATAGGCATCGGATGCTCAGCAAAAAATTAAAATCTCAATGACAATGCTTGAGTCATATACTTTGAAGTTACTTTTCATATTAAGGCTTTCAAAGTGTCGGACAATTGCAGAATTATTCCTCTGAGTTCCCTTTACCGTCCAAACTGAAAGAAAGCGTATATAACAGCGAGTATGCGCAAACTGCAGAGGCAATAGAGGTAACTTTCGAAAAGTTTTCAGGTTGAAGATAAATTCAAAATAGAAATGAGGTGGGAAGCAAATAGTCCCGAATTATATGTTAGTTTAATTAGCAGGATATTGAATTGTTCCATGTCCCGTTATGTACAAATAAAGGGCGAAACCGCGAAAATTTCTTATCCATTAAAAGACAAAGTAATAAAATATAGTGGTATACGATGTAATTGCAGACTTGTCTTTAGTTTGCTACAAATTTTTAGGTGGGATAAGTAGCATAGGTTTTAGACCAACAAAAAAGGAAGCATGAGAGGAAAGGAAAATGAAATGGTAAAAAAGGACAAGGCAGAGGGGTTCACTGATGCAAAAGTGAGTTAAATCCATCGTATTTTTTATCTATTACTAAAGTAGAAATGGTATGAACGTGCGTTTATGTTGAGCCTTCGGTGAATTGATTTATTCAATGGCAAATACAGTTTTGATTAATGGATATACATTCCCAGAAGGAATTCGAGTTGAGGAGGACTCCTTTATTTGGAATTCAATGATACTCTAAGTATCCATCTTGAACTATGGATTAAGTGAGCTGGAATTCTGTCGCATCCCGGGCGATCCGAGGGGAATCGAAAATAAATTCCAGATTAAGAAAGCTTTTTTAGAATGTAGAATAGAATGAACGATATATTTAATTGGCCCCTTAAATTCAATGAGGAGTACACTCTGAAAGCAAACGATGTGCCTGCATACTACATTTATTCCGCATAGTTTTCATGTATTGATCAAACTAATCTCAAATATTACTCAACACAATTATATAAGTATCGATAAAGGCCGATATTTTAGGCGGAATCCTTGTAAGCAAGGAATTTAATTGTTTCCTTTGAATTGTCCTATAATAATTAGATAGTTATGCTGCATATAATCAACCGTAATTATTTCCAAAAATGTTAGACAGTCTTACTAATAGTTCCGAAGAAAATTCACATCAAAGTACGGAATTATATTTGCCATGAGGCATTATTTTATGTACAGCATTTAGGCTTGCTTTGATCATAGCTTATTGTGGTTGATTGAGAAAGTCTTAACTCTTTCAGGATAGTCTGATTATAATCCGGGAGGTTCCTACAATTAACACGACATTTTTAAATATGTTTTTTTCTTTTCATACTAGAATTCGGTTTATCGTTGCTAATGTGAATCAGATCTCATATAATAAAGAGCTTTTTCACAAGGCCAGGGAGGAAAATAACGAAATCCCTGAAGATAAGGATTAGAAAAGTCAGGATTTTGCCATTAAGATTTCAAACGCTGTGCCTATAAAACAAAAATCACCAATGATACCTATAAAAGTAGACATCTTGGCAAACCCTACATGATTAGTTCACACAAGTATGCTTAGGTCAATTGCGATAAATAATTAGTTACAACTTACGGAAACCAGCCTGCTATAAAAAATTATTTATTTCGTTTAGGACTTACATTTTTACTATTCAAAGCTTCAATTATCTATCCATATAACTTTTATTGCACATTCTTAAACAGCCAAACGATCAACTTTACTCATGCGCTATGCCATCCAGGCTGACAAAGTCCATATGCTAAGAAAAGTTGGATTTCGAGGAATCTCTTGCTTCATAATTGTTGAGCTTACTTTCATTTTTGAGTGAAAGTGTTGGGTGAAAAGATTGGAAGGTCGGTCCAATCTGGCTACTTCCCTGATTTAATTTTATTGGCATAAGATAAATATTTCGAGTTAAAATTGTGATTACGAAGAATGTAGAATTATTATTAACATTATTGTTATTGCCAAAATTATTACTTCTCTAGTGTCCTATTTCTTTACGATTTACTTCAAGAGAGTACACATTTGAAAAGCTTGAAAAATATCACAGGCATTGTAAAGTTTACTGCACACTAACCTGTTCCTCCATCTTTTCAATAAGATATTTTTCCACCAATTGACGCGTCGTAGAATCGAACAGCTCAATTAGATATTTAATATTCTATACAGACAAAGAATAAAATGTTGGAATTTCATTTCATAAATCTAGAAACATA